CTTTTATTGGCTTCAGTGCTCTTACTGTCTCCTGAGTTCCCTTCTTTATTCCCTTGTTTAGTCTTCTCTGACTTCGTGGTAATATTATCCTCAGCTGTCTTTTTCCCTTCATTTTCTTCTGTTTTCTTGTCATCTGTACCCTGTTGAGAATTCTCCTCTGCTTCTTTCTTTGTTTTTTCTTCTGTATCCTCAGCAAAACAAAGACAAAACGAAGGGGGGGGGGGAAGGCAAGATAAAAAACAATTAGTGGACTTACCAAAATGCCTCCTTTGTTTTTATTTGCTGGAAACAGGTCTTGACATAAAGCCTAAAAAATGTTAAGAAATACCACTCTCACTTAGCTGAAATCTACTTCTTGCTTTCCTAAAACTGAGTTGGAACATGCTATCTTTGCTCATCCTCAATGAAGGGATGTGAGCTAGTAACCATTACCATTACATTTTGCTTGCCATTCAACCTATTTGCAATATGCATAAGCAATTACAGACATTTATTTATCTGGGCAGCTAACAATACTTAAAACTGTAACAAAACCAAAAATTCAAATAAAAATAAGTACAACAATAACATTAATACAACACTGCCAAGGTCCTCAAAAAAACCTTACATCCTACAACCATATAGCTGGGATCATCTAATATTCTAACCCAATGCCTGAGGGAGTAACCACATTTTTACAGCTTTCCAACACACCAACAAGGTTAGGGTAATCTGAATATTGGGGGGAATGGTGTTCCATAGGGCAGGTGCTGCAACAGAGAAATCAATGCCTGCTGGATCCCATTAGATGACACTGCTTCAAGAAAGGGACCCAGATCATGTCCATCCTGCCAGATCTGGTGTGATAACCTGAATTGTTGGAAGTCCCACAAGTAATCTGGCTCTACACCATGTAGGAAAAACTAGTACCTGCAATTGCATTGGGAAGACCACAAGGAGCCAGTGTAGGTCATGGAGCAAGGGTATTAGAGGGGCATACCACGGTGTGCCCCAAACTGCCCATGCCATCGCATTCCCAAATAAGCATGGAAAGAACTGCAATCATAATAAATCATTGGTTCAATGTGCATGAATTTGCTTATGAAAAAAAACAAATTTAGAAGTGAAAACAAACATTTTAATAGAGAAATATTACATCTCTACCCAAAAGGTAATGCCTGTTATAAGAAGGCACTGATACATTTTTAAGATACTTTTAAAATGACTTTGTATTTGTAATTAATCTGGACAGTTGATTAAATATTGCAGTCCCAACTACAACAATTACCAAAAGAGGTAATGCCCAAAACAAAATCCTCTATTATGTATAATGTTGTGTATGCTAAGCAGAGTTCAAAATGCTGCAACTTCCCTGCCAGTCTAAATGCCAGACACCATCTGACTTTAAATACACACCTTCTTTCAGGTGTGACTTTAACACAAATGCTGAGAAGACTCCCTCAACTTTATTACTCATATTCAGGGGGGGAAATTGTTCTTTTAAAAGACAAAGGGAGTAGTTCTATGGACACAGAGCTACTATGTCAAGGGCGTGTACCATCTCCTTAACAGCTCTGCTAAACAGCTGGAAGAAGCTAGGGGAGAGCTGAGAAAAAGAAGCAGAGAACTTTAGATAAATGTTTCAGCCAGGAATCTGTGTTAGACCTTTGTTTTATTTTGCTGTGTGTGAGAGAGTGAAGCCTTTTTTTTCTGATTATGTCTCTTCAAATTAGGGAATAGTGCACAATTCCCATAATCATCATATATTCTCGATTGCATGCCTGAATGCAGCTTTACAAGTCTTGAGGTCATCACTTTTCCTTGGTAGGCTTGGAGCTTAGTAAGTTTCTGAGCTGAGTAATAAAAAAGCAATTTGTGCTCTGACTGGAATCCTGTATCTTAATTTTTTTTTCCTTTTTAACTCATTGGGAAGCAGCAGTTTAACTGAGGCAGCTCTGCCTTCCTGTCTTTGAACAAGGAACAGTTACATATTAATATCTGAAGTGAAAAAGGGCTTTTTTTTTTTAATTTGATCATTTTTCTCCTTTTTAATAAAGTGTGATTTGGTTTCTTTCCTATGGAAAATTGGTCTAGCTCCTCAAAAGAGGGGCAGGAAGGGCTGATGCATTACCAGGAGATGGTGCTATAGAAACCGTTTCATTTTTTCATTTCCCTTTTTCTTCTGATTCACCAGAAGGTCAGTACAGATTGCTGGGTGCCCTGTTGCTCGCAATGACTGGGTTAGAGGGAGGATGTCAACTGAGGTGCCCTGCAAGATATGAGGTGGCAACCAAAAAGCTACTCCAAGGCTGGAAGGCAGGCCTAGGTTGTATAGACCCAGAAGGCTTCTGGGAGAGGTTTGGGACCCCCAGAATTTCACCCTATGGACACAGCTGTGCAGCTCCAAATGTCCACATTCAGGCTGTTATTCAATGGACACAAGCAGAGCCAGCAAAAAATAAAAATAAAAAAATAATGCAGTCCTTTCAGTAATTTGGAGGTGTGGACTATAGAAAATTCATAATGCCATTTTCAGTAAAATAATAATAATAATAATAATAATAATAATAATAATAATAATAATAATAAAAAACTAGTGAAAGCCCCTTTAAGACAGGTGGCAGAAGTTTTGTAAATATTTTACAACTTCTGATAGATTTGTTATCCTCAAACAGCTGTCTATTATAGAAAGCTGGTGTTAATATAAATAAAATGAGGGGAGGGGATCAGCTATGGTCTCTACCAGAAATCTAACCTGCCTGTTATTGTCAAAATTAAACATAAATTTACATCATGCTTTAAGTTTATTTTTTTCCTATGTTGTGTTCTTTGGGGCATATGTTTATTCTGGTTCCTAATTTGCTTCTATTGAATAGTGACACTTTAAGCAGAAGGAGCTTGCAATAAGCCCACTACTTTTGCCCACACATGAGAAGACACTGAGTACAAAAACAACATGCAGAACTTTCTAATGGTGCTATGTTCAAAGGGAAAAGTACTGCATTCTGCACGGGTAGAGTAGCTTAGATGAAAGTATTTCTGGTTCCAGGCAATTATCATAACCTTGATTCTTAATTTGATGTCAAAAGATTAAAATGCTTTGATGTTTGCCTTTCATTGCTGATTCATAATACTATGTTGCAACTGATAGTCTTCAGCAGCTTTCAGACTAGTTCACCTAGTTATGAGTGAGAGGACCCATAATGTTTCAAAGATCTAATTATATGCTTGGAGAATCAAACATTTCAGCTAATACAGGCTTAAGGCTATTACTTTGACAGCACAGAAGTAGTCAGAAGGAGGCCTAGATAGGACCTCACTATTGATTTTCTGATTTGGATTTCAATGGTAGCTGACATGCTTTTTTCTCCTCTCCCTTCCTATTAGCAGTTCATTACTAGGATCAACTCTTAAAAGTTGATGGTGATGCCAGAAAATCAAGAGTATGATGACAGGGAGGTCCAGGGTGGAGACTGGAGACAAAAAGTAAAACTTAGAGAAAATAGCCTGTGTAAGTAAAAGGCTACCAACCTTAACAATATGCTTACAAATTTCCTGACACCAACAATATGCCTATATACACTACATGATGTCAGGATCCTTGAAGTCAGAAGAACACCACTGACAACAGCACAGGTGTCTGCTCTGTTGGACTCTCCCTCCCCCCATCTCTCCCCACAAATCTTTACCACCATCTGCCCTATGGGAGGGTTGTTTTTCAATACTTACAGCATTTTTACTTATAGTGTCATATTCATTGTTAGCCACTTTATGAGAACTGTTAGACCAAAACTGGCAATGAATTAATTGCAATAATGAATACATAAAACATAATTCAAATCTAACTGGATCACAGACACAGTGCAACAACTAAAATTCAGCCAAATGAATAAAGAAAACATCCACTCAAACATATCTGCAGCATGTTAAGGAAAATCATTTGGAAGACCCACAAGGAAACAATCACTATATATATTAGAAATACATAGGTTTAAAGTTTCATTTTGTCTGAAAGACAATTGTGAATCTATAACTTAATTCCCATGCAGAGCAGATTCCTTGAAAATAAGCCAAGTTACAGCCTGTGTATTCTATAAATCCAATGCCCAACATTCAAAGAATTGAACCAAGCCACAGACTATAAATCAAGTGAATCTGTACAGAGGACTTGACTCAGGGATACCAAATTACTCAAACAGTGAGCAAACAGATATATTCTATATGAAGTCATGGTTTCCTCATATGATCCTGAAATAAGCTACTGTATTAGTAAATATTTATCCTGACTTCCACAATACAGAGAAACATTTTTCTACAGTACTTTTTTTCTCTAGTATTGAGACGGTTTGCTTGAGTACATATATCAGGAAGTAGACAGTTTCCCCTTAGACTTCCACTTCCTCCTGATATAGGTCCTTCTCCTATATCACTGCAAAAACTAGATATGGAAAGATGTGATCTAGCAGTGCTCCTCCTTGTTACTCCATAATGAGAAAGGAAGCCATTGAAATCCTTTTCTCTGTGGTTCACACAAACTTCTCACCAGAAACCTCCAAGGGTCTTTAGAAACCTTCCCTTTGCACACATGGTCACAAGCATGCCTATTATCCACCATTTTGCTGGACATTATTTGCCAGTACTGTTCTTGTTACCTTTGGTTGCTTGGGCTTTCCACTTCTCTCGGTTTTGTTGCACCACTTCTGTCCAGGTGGCTTTAAAACATTTGAAGTCCACAGTGAGGATGGAACAGTTGAGTGAGGCACTTCCTTCTGACCCAGTGCTCTTGACACTTGATCTTTTGACTTCTGAGGGGCTAAGGCTATTCAGACTGGGATTGCATAACACAACATTAATTACTTTTTCACTACTAAAGAAATGTTAAGTGAAGTGACCGTTTTCTCCTCCCTTTCACTTTTTTGTTTTGATACATGTGAATATTCCTGGCCCATTTTTTTTAGTCACAGCCCCCTCCCATGTTACTATTCTTTTCACACCCCAAACCTTGAGAAATACTTTTAAATTGACTCACACCCACTCTCCTTACTCTGTTCACAAATTAAAATAACTGAATGGTAAAATAATAGCTGCTTGGCATGATGTCACTGCAGTGGAACTTCTGCAGAGAGGGAGAAGAACTCAGGAGGGATGGAAGTACCCACCAATAGAAAAACAATCTGCTCCCAGCTCTATCACATTTTTAGTTGCATGGCAGCTGAGCTGGAAATCAGCTGAACTGCTGATATCATGGGGTCATAGAGGCATGGAGTTGATGCTGAGGCAGTCCAAACACTGCATGTTCTGATTTACTCAGATTTTAATTTATACGAAGGCCCATAGTTGGGCAAAGAAAGAAAGAGTCTGAGTTGGAGAAGACATCTAGCCTTAAAGTGGTGCTTGTAGTGAAGAATTCAAATTGTTTTCATTATGAAAAGTGGAATGTGGATTCCTCTAACATATCTTTGGATGCTACTGTCACATGAAACAGACATTATCCTAAATCTTATATCTGGATTACAACTACAACCACATTATATGGAATAACGCTCAATATCTAGAGCAGATAATATGTACTTGGCCAGAAAATTACCCCAAAGAATTCATCAAAATCATCCCAAGACATTCTCTTCTTCCAAATGCGATTCTTGTAATGGACTCATTAGCCTTGTCAACCTGGATAATTTCCTGGTCACCATATCACATTTGGTTTGAACATTGTTAGATTATTTCTCTTTTTTTTAATAATATTTTATTGACATTTTAAAGTTACAAATTTAAAAGAAATGAAAAAGAAAATTATTAAATTACTAAAAGATTATTTCTTTTCCCCAGAAAATCTATCTATCTATCTATCTATCTATCTATCTATCTATCTATCTATCTATCTATCTACTCTTTAAAGGGGGAGATGAGTTTCTACTGCAAATATATATCTATAGTTACTGACCTGGATCGCCTAAACCCTGTCATACCAGAGTTGGAGGCTTCCTCAATGAGAGGTGTTACAATCTTCTCTGTCATATCAGTCAGCACAGTGAAAGTGGGCTCCACAATAAAATCAATAAATCCTGGAAAAACACAGAGCAGAATCAAATGCAAGTGGATCAGCTACTCTGATATCATACATCCTGATAGATAAATACACCAATACTTGCAACAACATGGTAAAAGATCTATGCATCCTGGCCACAGGCATTACTATCCCTAACTATGATATGAGAATTCCTTAAATGATCAAAATAAAGCATTGTAAACAATTCAACATGCAACAGATGGGAATAAGCTTGTTTTGTGTGGGTTATTGAGAATCTGAGCCAAATTATTAATACAGCTGATTATGACCCAGCCTGGAGAATGAAATCTATAGAAGTAATATAATAATGAAGCCATAATTCTACTTCTTTAATTCTGCATACTTCTGCATCTATAAAGAGAAAGGGTAATAGACCCCTCAAACCTTTTAATCCTAACCATTGCATTTGATTTACAAGATAAAAAGAATCATCAGATGTATTTTTGGATATTTTCTGTAAATCAGATCAGAAAAATTAGCTACTACAATAATGCCAGATTGTAAGTTATCTTGTAATATGTGATCCCTACTTCAGAAAAATAAAGCTGGAAATTATTATTCACTGTTTGCAGAGCAAATTGGGCACAATGTTATAGAAATATCTAGAGAAACAACAGCATTAAAATATGTCTACTAATGCAAAATGTAATTACAATTCCACATAATCCTCTTATTTAATTTAGTTGCATGGAACACAAAGCCCAGTTTGCATCAGCTAGGATTCCTTATAACTTTGCTTATCTCAAAAAATGAGAATAATAAACATAATAGTTCGGAGCAAATCACTTCCCTTGGATTACTGCTTATCTATCAGTACTCCCTGACAGCCTAATTTGGTCATTTTTTCTTTTTCTTTTCCTAATTTCAAAGGAAACCTGAAAGGGTTCCTTTGATCCACCCAGCAGAAACTAAGGGGTGAGTCGGGAACTTTTCAGTTAATATCATCATTGCACTATTATGGGCAAACTAAGTTTGTTGCTACTTAATATTAGATGATCCCAAGAATGTAATTTTACGCAAATTGATCAAAGTAAAGTAAATAATGTACTTCTAAACACACATGTAAAAGATTGCACTGCACAAAACATGCACAATATTTTAGATTGGATTTATATACAGAGGGTAGAAACATTCACAGGGAAGTAAATAAAGTCAAGACAGCTGCTGTGACTGTGTAACTGAAGTCCAGCCCCTTGTCCCCATGCATCAGGAAGCCCAAAAAAAGAGGGACAAAAGAAGGTTTAACTTGATTAATGGCAGGTTCAAAAGAAGATGAGAGCTATATTCCTATTATCATCACCCCATTTTCATGGAGAATTGGAAGTGGCTTTCATAACTTAAACTTACTCTGTGTATTTGTATGTATGTTAAGTGTGCATGTATGTATATATAGAGCCCAATAAACATATAATGCATATGTATATAAAGTTTTATCTTTCTCTCCATCTACTCCCAAACAACCTGAAATTTAGTGAAATCACTGTGACGTTGAAACGTGTGTTACAATCATTGTCTCCATTTCTTTTGGAACTTTTGGAACTTCAGACTATTTTTAATGGCAGACCCAGTCAAAAAGCACTACAGTACTGCTTTTGAATATAACATCAACAGTAGCATCTTTGGGAAAGAGTGTAACTGTTGGTACTCCTGACTGGTTCTGCCTCCTAGAATATTCTTCACCTAGCTTTAAATTGCAAATATGTTTGACCAGTGTAATCTCATCCAGGACAGGCTATATTCTCTCTTCCAGACTTAATATTTTTAGCTCATCAGAATATGTGGCATTGCTCAATTTTCCAAGGAATCAGCTATTTCTCTTCTGTTTGTTTATGGGACAATTCAATATGCGACTGAAGCCAAAGGAATTACAGAATAGTAGTAACAAAAGCATGATTTTTTTTTAACACTTCAAGTGGACCACAATAAAGAATAGAGGCGAAGCCTATTGCTGTCATTGGCAACCGTAGATTTAAAAACAGAGTGAAGAGCTCAAACTGGCCTATAAAACCTTTAGGTAGCCAATAATGTGGTTCTGAGAAGTGACTGACATTCAAGAAATTAGTGGCCTGTGAGTTAATGCATAGAGGCTTTAGACATCTGCTGTTTGTTTAGCATGTTCTGAAAAGGTGGACTTCTTCTTTGCCAGGCAAAGGGCAAAAATTAAAAACTGTTACTTCAATAATCAGCAGAAACAGGCATTGATGACAACAAGGTCGAAAGTCTCCTATCAAACAAGCCTCCTACAGCCTCAGACAGAAGGATACGCATTTACATCTTCTAAGCCTCCTGTTAAGTAATTACAATTTCTTGGCTTTGCATTCCACTGCAATTTGGCCTGACTGATGAGGAAGCAGATTGACTTTCAGATATCAGCACTAGACTGATGGCAAAAATTGTCTTTATAAAATAAATTGGTTTAAAAACAGCTTTGGCAGTTAAATCGAATCATTGTACCATACAGCATGCTCCTTCACTGAAAACTTTCCTGTATTATAAAAACAAAGTATCAAACTTCAAAGCCAAGACAAATATGAATAAAGTTATACTCTAAAAGACACTTAAATCAAAAATTACTTTTGTGAGTTCAACATTTAACCTTTTTTAGTTCCAGATTTTATTTTCGTTTGATTTTTGAAGATTTTACACTACAAACGCTCAGCTTGTGACCCACCCACCCCCAAATTCCCTGTATTCCTAATATTACATTTCTCATTTTGATTTGCAAAATGTAGCAGATACACATTCTATGAATACCTGATGGGATCTCTTTCATCAAAAGGAGTGATTCAGCCTGATTAACAGTTAAGGTGGTTGAAATAATGTCCAGCTATACATATGCAATACATATAATTTGATAAATCTCTGATTTGCATGTAAAGTTAGAGGAAGTATTTTGTAACTCCTTTTTGATAACATTGGCGATGATGCTATGTTATTATCCTACTGATATCTAACATGCAGATTCCCATTTTTGGCACATTTATTTAATCATAATAGTAAACTCCATCCATGGCCATCAGTGAGGTGGCAAGGGGAGCAGATGGCAAAGAATGTGTCATGATGCAAACTCCATTCTTCTTGTACATTGTCATGATGTCACATGCAAGTACGTAATGGGTGAAGCTTGTGTTGTGATATCAGAATAAGTGTTTTGTCATTTTGACAAAATCTCAGCTCGCTGCAGATGCCCTTGCCTCAGCCCATGATCTATAACTATATGGTGTTTCTTGTAAGAAAAATCAACCAACTACTTTTCACAATAGAATTTTAATCCATTATATAAGAACATCAGTCATGGAATATTCTCCTATTGTCATGGAATATTCTCAGAACATCTTTGAGAATAATATTATATCTATGTATAAAAAAAGGAAAAAACAGTTGTTCTCACTACATGTCTGGAGGTTGAGTCATGGCAACTGGACTTCTTTTCTTTTTTGGTGGAGACGTTTTGCTACTTGTCCAAGCAGTTCTACCAAATGTCTCTACCAAAAAAAGAAAAGAAGTCCAGTTGACATGACTCAACCTCCAGACAATTCCACCTGGATGACTGAGAATCTTCATAAACATATTCTCACTACATGAAATTATTAAGTAACTGCCCACTGAGCAGCAAACAGAGAAGAGAAAATGTTATAATGTTATCGTGTGAGATTTATGGACAGAATGTGATTATTAACACCATATGATGCAGTAAACTTCCACAAATTAAATAAAATGCTCCAACAGTGAGGGCTATATAAATTAGTAGTACTTTGTAAGTGCTTGATTTATTTGCTGTAATTATCTCAGCTAACAGTGTAATTCACCATTGATTCTCCAGTTATTTGTGCAACGAATGCAAGTCTTTTTAAATTAAAAGTCAAATTCTGTCACAAGTTCTGTCCAGGAAAGTAAGACCAAAGGATAAATGGCCATAGTTATAAAGGGAATCCTACCACAAAGCAATCCAGTCAGCCCTCCAAGATCTCAAGACATGGAAACCTTTTAATTAAAGATTATCCATACAAATCATGGTTCTGCCATGTGAAACTTGATTCTACAATTAAACTATGATCTAATTACAAGCATAATCAGCATCCCTAAAACTCCTTTAGAAGTTGCAGTCAAGCAAAAAAATTCAGAATTGCTTTAATATTATACTTCAGACAAGGATAACAGGATGCTGTAGCTTTCTGCCTCTTCTGCATTCCCCTGTCTGGTGCTAATCTACCTGCTAATTTAACCTTTTACCACACTGAAGGTTTGTTCAACAAACTCTCATTGCATTGATGTTTTAATATTCCAATTCTTTCAACCAAGGTGATGAAGAGCTTTAGCACCTATAAACTCCTTCACAGTTCATACAGCCAAGGGGCACCTCCGATTGCCCTTACAATGTGTGCATCATATATACCACATTTAATAAATCTGTTCATGATTTCCAGCTTCAAATCCTGGAAATCACATTTATTTAGGAAATAAACTTAAACTGGGTTCGGAAACCATGAGCAATTGGAAGCAATTCCATGACAAGGAAATATAACTTTGAAATTAAATAACTTGACTGTATACCTGTCCTTTTTTATAGAGGTTTTTTTGTTAATGTTCTTGCCTATTCTCTTCATACAAGATTAAGAACTTCTATCCCGGCAGATGAAAATATGTTGTGTAACTGAATGGTTGCATTGAAAAGCTAAGAAAGCACAGAAGTTGATAAGTTACCCAACAACTTGGTCTCTCTTCAGCCTTAACAGACCAGTAATAAGAAACTCTGAAGTCTGCTCTGGAGCATTTCAGTCTTATTGCCAACTAATGACTAAACTACTGTATATCATGATTTTTTCTATTCAGTGGTATGTAAGGTTAAGTATATACAGGATTTGGGGAAAATCTAGGTCATTAAAGCTTGGGCAAAATATAAAATCATTAAATGGAGCCAGGATGCTATGGAATCATCTGAAATCCAGATGGTAAGGAAGGAAAGGGTTTAAGACTGGCATTTGCTAACTGGCACTTGCAAGCTATGTTCTTCCTAGTTAGAGATAAGGGGATGGACAGAACAGGAAAAACACAAATGGCTTTCAGTGTGGCTCTGCCTCCGCAGTGTTAACAAAGGATTGCACCAGAGAACGAGCTAAAACAGAGCAATAAGAGGTGCCATAATGTTTGGAACACAAGTGGAAAAGAAAGGTGGGTGTATATCCAAATAATGCTTTAGCTGTCATGTGAGATTGGCCTGAACATTAGGAATCATACACAACTTAAACAGATGCATCTACAGGATCCAGTGCTTTTGTCTTAATGACACTGCAATGCATGTACAAAAGGGCAGATCACAATGGCACAGGGCTGCTTTCATCATTCCCACTGCCCCCCTCCCCTTAATTGGCCTCTGAAATTAGAGATAATATTAATTGAATGGTTAATGTGCAAAGCTATCAAGATATGCACATTACCCGAAACATATTGGTGAACATGGTTGGAGAACTTGCAGAGTTATATTGCACATTTACCTTTTAATTCAAACAACCAAGAGATCTATAGAAATAAATCGTATCCCATTATATTAATTAATGCAATGAATTTAAAAGTTACTACAGTATGATACATAGGATTAATTTGGTTACATTTTGGTGACTTTTAAAGCTAACAAATACTAAATTATGGTTTCATTTAGCATATAATATTATACAAAATAATACCTTCTGAGTACTGTATTCCCACCAAGGTACATTTTTCTGATCTTCTTAGATTTACCTACCTATTTGAGATTGAGGGACCATAGTGGATTTACGATCACACAAAGGGGAAAAAGGAAGGCCTAGTTCTGCTTCTTTGTCGCCCTGAAAAGAAAAAGGAGAGAAGAAAAAATCACAAGAATGTAAAAGATGTCTCATTTTCATTCTCTTCCCTCTCATCTGAGTGAGATTTTAACAGAAGAAATTCCTGATATTCTGTGATTTTAACACCTCATGCAGAAAAGAAAATACGATTTGGCCCAACCTTTGTTTGGCTCTTGTAGAGCATTACCTAGAGAAAGTTAATTAGTTAGACCTTCAATTTCCCCCCCCCCTGCAAAACAGCAGACTTCTGTTTTTTCTCAAATTTCCCCTTAGTATCTGGGCGAAGACTAAAAGGGGAGGCAAAGTTTGCTAACCAAAATGGTGTGTGTGTCTTTGGGTGTGTGGAATCTTCTTGCTTGGCCAGTGTCTTCCCTCTCTTCCCAGATAGATATGAAAGCTGCAGTTTTTAACATGGAGGCAAGCATTCTATTTGTTATTTTTCTATATGTTAGTTTTTGTCAACAAGCAGACATCTGACACTTAAAAAAATTAATTAGAAACACAATTTAAAAATGTAATTAAAATACAATAAAACCCCAAAAACCAGATAGCAGGTAACCCAACCCCCCCAAACTCAGCATCAAAAACTATGTAAAGCAAACATGTGTACTTAGACACCATATTTGGGATTTTGCCATAGCTCATCGTTTCATAACACAGGTTTTGTTAGATAAGATTGCCAGCTAACTAGAGAAAGAGGGAATTTTCTTTTCTTTTCTTTTTTGCAGGTATTCTTGACAAGCCTATGGTACCCCAGAGGGAGGGAGGGAGGGAGGGAGGGCAGGCGGGCTCTGCTGCTATTTGTAAAAATATGCTTTGGAGAGAGTCTGCCTCAAACATTCTGTTGCCAGGATAATATATCCCTTCCCCATTACATATATACAGGCAGGTTGGAGCACAAACTGGATCAATATTGCTCCTGGGGCAACAAGCCTGGTTGCATGTTGCACATAGCTTGATAGCCAAAAGAAAGGAATGGCCAACAACCCTAATGGTCTTAGAAGAAATAGCCAAGTGACTGCCAACACTACACCTTTATGAGCTTCCATAAGGCAACTGCCTCACTATGCCTAAGGCTAAGAGTATCCATGGCTTTAGAAGGTAGATTCCCATAGTGGACCTTGGAGAGATGGAAGAAAACAGCTGACCTATTTGAATTATGGGTGTGGGAGAAGAAATTGGTTTATTTCTGGATTAATGTGATGGGAACATTCAACCATCTATAATAGTAATATTAAGCATCATCGTATAATACTAGTTGTCTAATAAAGTCATGGAAGATAACTGAATGCTTGGATGATGTGCAAAAGTAACAGCAAACCATTATCTGCTATTATGAACATGACTTGAACTCTTGTACTTTTGCTCCCCCTTGTACATGAGGGCAGAGATTTAAACCTCCAGATGAAGATAATTTGCAGTTCTAATGAAATGGAAAAAATGTGGTTTAAAATCAAAAGTTATACAAACTTTACATCTTCCCAAACCTGCATGCAGTGATCTGGGGAATTTGCTCAAAACCCATTCTGGCTTACATTAGTAAGAAATCATAGCTTGTCATGCCTGACTTGTGTATATACAGTATATTACCTTCTTAAAAGTTACAGAATGTAGTATTAATGTCCCTAACTTCAAGCTTACCCTGTTACAAGAAAAAGTCATTTTGTGGAATATGCAGTATGTTGTTGGCCTTGTTGTTGTTGGAACTACTAGGTTTTCAAACTAAATATATAATACATACTTGGAAAAAAATCTCAAAGATTAACCTTCATTCCCCCACCCCCCTTACCCACACAAATATGAATTGCTTAAAATGGAAGATGGCAGATGGATTAAATAATTTACCTACTAAAATAAAGCATTAAAATCTGTAATTAAAAGCTGCTGCTTAGTCAGCTAGCATTCCCAGTAGGCATAGGGCCATATCATATTGTAAAATACCAAACAGGAGTAATGTGATGCACTTAAAGGAATTAAACAAAAGCCACCCTGTTTCATTCCCTCCTTCTCTACCCCTAACAGAAGTGTATGAGGGTAAATGTTTAAGATACATATATGGGAGTGTAAACATCTGTATGACAGCTGATGATCAGTCACACTAATAATTAATAGTCTCTTATGCCCTGAAAAAGAAAGCTGGATGGGTCCCATACAGTTCAGCATTCTTTGTTTCTCTAATCAGGTTTTGGAGGCCATGTACTGACAGGGCTGTTTATAGAATATATTTCAAGGGATTGATATAATTGCATTAGCTGGCTGTTTGTTTTCAAGCCACATTCAGTATGTTAATTCTAAGCAGCCCTAAACAGCATCAGCCAACATGTATTTTCAAGGGAATGTTTCTTCTGTATGAACTATCCCACTTTGAAAGCAGACTTTTTCTGGGTATCTTTTCCATACGAAGTGCTTTTAATGCTTAGGGCACTAAAATTTCATGTACTATTGCTGCAGCATTGAAATCAGCTTCTCAAGGAGATCCACCAAGCCCCCTCTATCTTAGAACTCAGTTTTAGGGTAAAAACTTGTTTTTGCAATTTTTCTTGTATTCAGTCTTGTTTGAAAGTATTGTTGCTGGTTTTTATTAAGTGATGGGATTTTTCAGGTATCCTATGATTAAAATGTTGTAAAATAGTTATTGTGCTATAGAGATATTCCATACAGACCGTATATCATAGAAAAAAAACATGACTCAAGAGCCATCTGATCAACTTTGAAACACCTTTTGAACCCAGCAGCAAGGATGACAGGAGTTCAGTGATTGTTAGCTCAGGACATCTGATATAAAGGCATTTTTGGAGTAGTTTAAAAGGCATTGATAGCTTTGTAAGATTACAAGTGTATTTTAGCAACGACATAGATAGATTTTCTCTCGGGCAATCTGTCCCCAGCTTGGTCCTCCAGATCCTCCAATGGGGCACCCATCACCACTGTAATTGAATCCTTTCCCAATATTATAGATTACTCCAGAGACTTAGGTTGTCATATAATGTGTCTGAAGTATGATAATTTGAGCCCAGTCATTTGTGCTTCAAGTAAGACTTCTGGGGTGATTTGTTTGATGATTTGTTTGTGTTTGTTTGTTTTTTGGCTATCTATGTTATTCTCAGAAGTCTTCTCCAACATTAAAGTTCAAAAGCATCAATACGCTTTCTATCTTGGTTCTTCAAATCCAACTTTCACTTCCATTGAGTGTCACAGGGAAAATCATTGCCTCCATGATTATGATCTTTATAGGAATAGACACATCCTGGTATATAAGTATTTGTTCCAAAGCCTTCATTGCTACTATGCCAAGTGTTAGTCTGCAGTGTATTTCTTGACTGCTTGTTCGTTTACTGTTGACAGTTGATCCTAAAAGGCAGAAGGTATCCATCACTTTAATATCTTCATCATAAATTATATGACTGCTTGTTGTATTTGTTGTCATTAGTTTGGTCTTCTTTATATTTAGCCCCATTTTTTTCACAGTGCTCCTTGACTTTCATTACTAGAGGTTGCAGATGATTTGCATTCTCAGCTAGCAGAGTATCTGCATAGCACAGGTTATTGATGTTTCTTCCTCCAATTTTAAAACCATTCTCATCTTCTTTCAGTCCAGCTTCCCTCAATATACAGTATATTCTACATGTAGGCTGAATAAAAGGGGGAGAATATACAGATTTGTCTTACTCCTTTGCTGACCTGAGGCAGCCTGTGTCATTCACCAGAATTGCTGGCATAGCTCAGTTAGAACCTCTATTGATTCTTCTTTTGTTGCTTGCCATATTTCTATAGATATGTCATGAATTCCTGTAGCCTTCCAACCTGATAATGACCAGAGTTCTGATCTAACTTCATCTTCTAGTACTAAAAGTTCTTGTAAGTAGGGAATGTCTTCTGAGGTATCTTGAACATTGAAATCTCTACTGTACAGATTTTCAATATACTTTTTCTATCTTTGTTTGGTCTTTGAATCAGTTACTGTTTGCCCACTAATGTTTTCTAGCATACCAATTCCAAGTTGGGGCCTCTTTCTGAGTTCAGAGATCTTTTGAAAGACTTTCCTTGCTTTCCTGTCTCTGTTTCCATCTTCAACATCCTCACAGATGTTGTTATAATGCTGCTTCTTATCTCTTCTAATAGCTCTCTGAAATTCTTTGTAAAATTTCTTCCTGAAATCTTTGCCCTCTTGGCTTTGGCATCTCATCTCTTCTTGGCAGCTTCCATTGTTTGTTCTGACATCTAGTTTGCTTTCTTCTGTTTCTTGATCTTTGGCGGTCTCTTTTCACATTCATCCTTAATAACTTCTTTAAGTTGTTAAATATATGAAAAATTTAACAAAACAATGCACCCCAAATTACTAATATTTGCCTTGTTTAACAGCAGTAATAGAGAGTGTAACATCAGCAAGTCAGAGGAAGGTATACTATTGAGAGGACAAAAAGTCATGAGAACCCAGGGCTCTCAAGACTCATATGTAGTCTGGAAGCAATGAAGATAGATTTCTGCTGGCTCCAATTCTCTTGGGTTCTCAAGATCAGTATTACTAGTCTGAACTGGGCCTAGAAGAAACCAGTATAATAGACAAAGTGCTAAGATCATGTGACATTATTGAGAAGTCCCAATGTGACATAGTGGATCTGTTTTGGACTAACTAAACTTTCTGAACCATAATTATTCATAGACCCATAAACTATGTATTAGTCTAATAAGGAGACTATCAATGTCTATACTGGTAGCCAACACCAAGTTATCAGATAAAAATGCAGTTGCTACTTCAGTCTGAATGCATTCTTCTTCAAGTTACCTGTCTGAAAAACTCTTCTAACAGTGACATGGTCCAGCGATGATGGAGGTTCCATGCCTTGGCAGGATGACTGATGTCAGCTGTATGCAACATCAGAGATAAGGCTTTTGGTTTGTCAATTCTGAAAACCCAAAAGAATGGCACGAATTAATTGTCTGCATTGACAGATTTTTAAAAGACTGCTAACCAAGGAAATGAGGGTATGCTAACAGACAGCTTATGGATTAATATTAGTATTTGGTCCCACTGACCCCACATCTCTTCTAAAGTATTAAATAATTTTTTGAAGTGGAATAATTTGTGAAGCTGCATCTACAACATTGTTGTAATACAAGGTCAGTCTCTAGACTCAAGCCAGTAAGAATATTAGGAAAAAAATCAGATCTTAAGTAACATTTAGTATTTGCCTTATATGGGTCTGAAATATATGACTTCTCCATATTTCCTTCTAATATTAAAGAAAAAAAACTCATGGCTTACAATACAGAAGCTAAGGTCAATAAGTATGCATGGATATGGTTTACCTTTAATTACCTTATAATAATATAATTACCTTACATATAATTACCTTTCTGTGACATTTGTCATACTCTGCTTTCAATTCCAATCAGGCTCTTTCTTCCCTTTTAGATGCTCTCCCCCCAGAGAAGTTTCCAGCAGTGACATACAAATATATCCTACCTCTATAGGTACCTCAAGCCTACCTATTTAAGCTGTAAGCAGTTCCAGCAGATAAAATATAGTGCATGGACCTTGCTGCAAATTCTATGCCTACTTAAGGAACTTTGGGGACTGACGTTAGAGAAAGAAACAAAATCCAAGGAAAAAATCTGGAATAGCCAAAAAATAAGAAGGAAGCAGGTTTGTTTCTAAAAAGAAGAAAAGAAACACAAATTCTACCCAGAAGCTCCTAATTCTGATCCAAAGCAAAAGAGAGTATTTTAAAATGGAAAGCAAGATATATGCCTTTATTGAATCCAGGCAGATGAATTCCTCTTTCGTTCATATATACATGTACATTATATGCAGTCATTACAGTAATAATGGCTAAAAACATCTCACCTACAAAATACATGAAATCTCATTCCATCTGATAAGAGAGAAGTTGCTGAGAAATTCTTTGGAAGATAATAGGTGGTGTTTGGTATTCTTGCACCTATTTAGTTATACAATGGCTAAGTAAGGTATATGAATGTCCTAGATTTTATTGTGCAGTCATCTCTCCAGTGGTTTGCAGTTTCAGCTAAGGGAAAACCTAATGAAAGAAGTCCTCCCACTGCTGGGTGTTTCCTTGAGACATTTTTGGGAGAATTCCTCCTTCCTCTGAAGAAATTCAGACAAATCATCCAACTAATTTTCTGCCCTTTTGGTAATGAATTTCAAAAGGACATTTCTGCCTTTCTCTAGCCTTAATTGCCTTTTCTGTACAATCTTCTTCAAAAGGAAAAGAGCCAACATCAGCTTGTGATCCATGGTGGAAGAGATGTTTTGCCTACCCCAGTAGGGCAGAAGAAAGTTTAATGCTTAAATATTACATATATAGCCCACTCTTCGTAGCAAAATCTTCACAAGCTGGATTGCCATTTAATTAAGAATATAAGAAACCTAATCCAACCCTAAAAACAATATTCAACTCTTTAAAATAACAAAAAATAAAAAAAACAGTAGTAGCTGTAGGATATAAATTCTTGGTTGAAGGCGTATGCAGATTAGAATAATCCTCTTAATTGCTGCAGGAAGAATTCCAAACAGACTCTGTCTTTTGTATCCGTCTATCTTGTAACTCCTGCTAGTGGAACAGGGAGCAGTATTCAGATACTGTTCTTAAAACATGTTTCGGATCATGTGGGTGCAGATGGGTCTTCAAATAAGCTGGTTCCAAACTCTTAAATATTAATATCAGCACCTTGAATTGGCCCTGGTAATAAGTATACATTCCGTGTAACTAGCATTGACTAATGTGACAGATGTTTATCTCCCACAAGCATTCTACTAGCATTCTTGATTACTTTAAGGGCCATCCAATGTAAAATACATTACATTAATCAGTAACCAGTAAAGCAGGCTTTATCTGATACAGCCATGGTACAATCAAGGAAATATTGTCTTTGCTCTTCTGAAACGATGCACCTACATGTGAATCCAGTCACTGGAAAAAGAAATAGTCACAACTATCAAAGGATGTTGGCTTTTTTTTTTCCCCAGTGAGATATTTTTGAGGCTCATATAATGAAGTGGCAAAGTACCAGCTGTAATGGAGGCCTTTCCTCTCCACAGTATCAGAAGGTCTCTTACCCTTCTGGCTGCTGCAATGCATTCTTCATGGCTTTGATTTGCTGGAAATGACAGGACATATCTGTAGCCAGCACCATCTCAACCACTAGAGTCCTGAATTCTCTGTAGGCAGATATCCAGAGTGGGGAGTGATGGAGGAGAGAATGAGAAAAATAACATATAAGAAACACTTTTTTGTTTGTTTGTTTCTCTGTCTGAACATTATTTATGACATTCTCACTCTTCGTTCCCATGTACGTCACCCAACACTTCATGTTATCTTTTTTACTGGGGCTTCTGGGTAGGGAGGAGTGTGCAATTTAGTCATATGCTAAGGTCTTGTTTGCTAAGAGATAATAAAGTGCTTTTCCAAGTGACCTTAGGACACTGTCTTCTGTGAAATGCCATTTTCCAGAATCATCAAGCTGAATATGACACTAGGCAGGCAAAATCACTCACACAAGAACATATGCATACATTACACGGATGACTGTTTTTCTGTTGCAGGATTCACTCACAACAGTCCAGTAACACAGGCCTATGGTTGCAGAGATGAAGAAACAGCAGCAACAACAAATAACCTGCACTAGCAAGATCGATTGGGGAATGTGGTGGTTAAGATATTAGACCAGGACCAGGAAGACCCAGACTGAAAGTCTCATTTATTTATATATCTCACTGGTATCGCTGAGCCAACCACTATCTCTCAGTAAAATCAAAGTTGCTATTAGAAGAAACACTGACTTCCCCCATCCCCACCCTTTGATGTACCAGAGGAAAGATGGAATATAAATGTAATAAATAAGCTGTCAGCCCTTTGATGTAGGCAAGGTCAAGAAACAGGATCAGCAGAATGTTTGTTATTGTTGCAGGGTATTATATCAGAATTTTGAAAGCCTATTATAATGTCTATCTGTTAGATCTTATACCAGACAAAATCAAGGCAGGGTTATTCTGAGTTTCTTCCTCATGGTTTGTTCTTTCCCAGAACTGAGTAATCTTTTCTGAACCTTCCCTCTCAACAATCTGTTCATCCCTTCCCCATTCCCAGGGATTACATTCCATTACACAAACAAATAGGGACATGATACTAATCAACATGACTATTTTTTAAAACATGATTGGAGATTTTACAGTTTGGGATTTCAGCTACTAACTGAATGGCTTGGGGAAGTAAAAATAAAGATTCAAATGAAATCCATCCATAGGAGTGTGCTTTGTAAACTGAAAAAAAAAACATTATCCTCAAAAATAGAAAATATAGTTTCATGGGCTGTAAAAGCGGCAGGTGAGAAATGTACTTTCAGACTTGCAAGATTCTGTTAGCGTAACCTTACAATAAAGTAGAACTACTACTTATGGGTGTGCTTCTTGTCTGGACTACCTCGCAAGGCTGACAGCAAGAATCCATCTACCTCAGGTTCCTATTTCCAGCAACAGGCAGCTAAAAAAACAACTAAGCATGAGTGCCACAGAAGTATTTCAATGAAGACTTACAGAGAAATCAAAAAACATAAATAAACAAACCCTGTAAGTTTCAACATGAAATTTGCACTCATGTTTAAAAAGCATTTTTCCCCTATTTTTCTTTGCCTCCCATGTAAACTAGCATACTGAGAAAATATACAATTTTCCATGTTTGATCTTATTGCTTTTTACCGATAGCTGCTGAAAAAGGTGCATTTCTTCTTGAAATACATTGCACTTTTATAATTGAGAAATAACTGAATGAGCTTTGGAGGCCAATATGGTTTGGGATAATTCAACATTTTATCCCTTTGACCACATGCAATTTTTTTGTCCTGTTTTGTTTTCCTGCCATTCTTTGGGAACAGTAACCCTACTAGGTGTCATTCCATGGAAGACACAGCAGAAGCAAAGCTTCATTGTTATGGCATTCTTAAAAATTATTTATATTTAAACTGAATGACTTCAGCCCACATTTCCTCTTCTCAATAGCTTCTCACATTAACTGCTAACAAAGTATCCTCCGTTGGGTGTCCATGAATCAAGATTCCCACTGAATACATTTCAGGAATACCCAGAGCAATCATGTTGACAGCCATCAAGGTCAATAGGCATTCTTACCTCCAATCATCTTTGGAGAGGTTAGACAAAATGTTCATCTCCTCATCATCTTGCAAAAGACGAAATGCTGCACTCAGGTGATGATTTTCTAGCACAGACCGATCATTGTACAGAATGGCTGTATCTGACCTACAGAACAAAAGACTCCATATTTATATGCAAAGACTGGCTTTATTCTTCTAAATGTAGCTAAAAAGTTTTTGTACAGTACCAAAGTATTCATTTCCAATATTTAGGAGTAATTATTATTTTGTAATAAATGGGAGAGAGAACCAAGCACATCCCATTTGGTTAAATTTTCATTTACTCCAAACTCTGTCCCTATAAAGAACATATATTTGTGATTACCAATTTAAGACTTTCAGGAGTTTCCCCCACTCCATATGTACAGTATCTTAGTGTCATTAAACATTCCTGTGGATACCATTTTATTTACCTGAAATGTTTCAGATACTAAATTATTCTGAGGTGTCAGGAAAAGTGCAATGGTGGCTATAAAACCTATATTTTGTGTGTGTGTGATAATTGTCCTTTTTCCTCAGAATGCTGTGGCATAAACTGTAGCAAAAAAACCATCCAGGCTTATACATATTTATTCAGAAGCAAGTCCCCATTAGCCTTAAGGGTGCCAACTCTATTTCTAGGTAAGTGGCCAGAAGGCAGTAAATAATGGGATTAACAGACTAAATATTAGTGTCTTATTAAATGAATATATTTTTAACAATCTATGGCAAAAAGGAATACATCATTTTTCATTGCATTCTGTTAGTCTTGCAATTACATTGCATGAAGGTTCATCACGAAAGACCTCCCCAAGGCCATATGGTGCATTTCATGACTGAAGAGGGTTTCGAGTAGCTTCCTTACATCCAAGCTCAAAATTGTAACCACTTCAACAACAGATATACTTGCTCCCCATCTTTCTTGGTAACTAGGAGAATGTATAGGTTCCAGTGTGAACACTAAACCTGCTCCATCAAAACCAGACATTTACAGTTCTCACCTTTTCACTAAAGTACTCACACATTCTCCTAAACACTCATTCCCTCACACGCATCATATGTCCATCAGCTCATCAGTCTCCTGACACATTCAAGTGTTACTCCATTCATACAGAGGAAGCTTGTATGATGATCCTTGACAACGGTCCTTGACAATGTCTTTGACAACTTCCAAAATGTCTCTCTGTATTATACACATTGGCTCCAATCACCTGGTCAGGACTGGGTTATATTTGAGTTCCTCTCCTGTTCACCCCCCACCTTTTACAGTACCCTAAATGTGAGCTTTTCCAAGCTTTATCTGTAACTCTTATTGTAGAACTTGATAGATAATATCTCCTCTGCCCTATTTATTGGCATTTACACTCTGATTTTATTCTAGCTGTTGTCCGCTATATTGACTGCAAACAATTCTATAACCAATTTTTGAATATTCCTCTAATCCATTCTAGGCTGCACTAGCTTCTTAAACCTTGATCTGCAACTTTTCCTGGTTTAGTTGGGGTATTGAATAGATTTAGAATATTATAGGTTGCTCTTCCCAGTGCACTGGAAAGAACAGGACTTCACACCCAAAGGTGAAGAAGAGAATTGAAAACTTCCATATTTGCTCACATAACTTCTTGATGAGCAGGGAGAGATTCTGGGATTGACAAGATTCTCCTGCAACCAGGGTGTCCCTTACAGTAAGAAACCCCAATCAGAGCTTTTACATGGTCAGTGAACTCATGAGAGAACAGATAGATATGCATTCACCCAGGATACCTTTCTATGGGCCTGGGTAGGTGAAAGCGCTCTCTTATGAACAGCCAACTGAGTTTTATTTTTATCATCTTTTCTTGATTCTCTTTTTGTCATCCTCTCACTTTAGTTTATTATTCAAATTCTCTTCCTTTTCTTCTCTTTTCATATCCAATGCCTTCAATTCAGTTGGACTAGGATTTTTTTTTTTAATGTAATTCATCTAATCAATTCCTCCTCCCTCCTCTCAGTTCTATTTGTGGCCTATTGATAAGTGTGTGTGTGTGTCCATATAAATTGAAAACTGTCTGTCTCTTTCAAATCACACTAGCACAGGCAAAATTGTGGTAGCATCCAAGTGAGTGACTGGTATAGACAAAAGCCCTACACTGGTTTCTATTAAATTTAGCACACTCATGATTTGGTTTGTAGTAGATTTTATCTTTGTTCTGCAGAAAATAAAATGAGACCCTTTAATACCTTACCAATAGAAGTGAACATGTGTAGCTCAGGGTTGAACTGTGGAGTCCTTGGGGTTCTCTG